GGTCTGGTTATGGAGGACACTTACCTGAGCTAGAAGCAAGTGACGAAGGTGGCATTGATGTATCTGATGTGGGATTAGTATTGCGCTGAAGCGCGTTGACTCAGGGAACTGTGAACTCATTGTAATCATAATTTTTGATAATATAAGTGAYRGGTCTTGGTCCTATTCTTATCTACCTTTGTCTCGTGTGTGGCAACTGTGTCCATTGAGTGTGAAGACGATGTTTGATGTATGCACATCTGCGTGAGTTGGTCCCCAGGACCCATGCACCACGATCAAAACATAGGTTAGCAAGGGTGTTGACCAACGAGCTATGCTACCCGAAGTTACAGATGCGTTATACACAATCTGACAGAGATCCACACCACCGTTTTGCTCCACTGAGCTGCTGAGACTATCAGCTCTGACACTACCAGATCACCTGCACATTTTCAAAGCCTCAATCCATCACGCTTGCCCGCCAATTCAACTCGTCATACAATTCAATCTTCAGCTGCCAAGTCATTCTGACCGTATTCACTCTTCCTGACGTACTCACCCACCACTGCATCTTCATGCCCCCTTTTCTCATACCCCCCCTCGGCCACAACATATGGCACAATGGGTTGATCAACTGCTGAGGAGAAGTGAAGTATTTTACTTTTTCTTTGCGAACATATAAAGGTGCCTTTTAACCACTGACATTCATTCTCACCACGGTAGGGAAGGCTCCATGATGGAAAGAGGAGTGAAAACATATTGCTTAGGCTGCATCTGGCAGCCCTGAATAAAAGGGAGAACCAGGGAGGCCTCTATCCCATTACTGTCCTTGCCCCTCAGAAGAAGGCCCACAGGGCTGCCAGGCCAGGTTTTCCCTACACACTGCCTCCTGGTCCCTGTCGGGTTTCGATTTGGCCCACTTCCCAGATGAGGGACCCAGCTTGTCGTTGTACTGGCCCTGTAGGGACATCAAGGAACAGCTCGTACTATCTTCATGCCGGCCAAAGACAAAGAGGTGTTCAACCCAAGATCCAAGGTACTATCGATTGTGAATTGCAGTGGTTTTCCAACTGCCCAGTTGACTATGGAGGGCATAGTACAAACTCTCTGGCAAACGAAGCTCAGGAGACAGCAACAAGACAAACAATACTTCTCTACGATCTTCTTAGTTTGCCTTCCTACTCCTGAAAGTATCATTCATTTCGGAATGACCAGGGATATAATTTACCATAAACATAAATGGATTTGATCGCTCGCTCATTTCAGACCAGGGATCCGCTGCTCATCCATCTTGACGCAGTTTGATCGCTCGCTCTTTTCAGACCAGGGATCCTCGGCTGCTCATCCATCTTGACGCAGTGTGAATTTCCTTCGCTCTATTTTCCTCTTTAGTGCCTTTTTTTTTTTCTTTTTTTTAAATCGTTTTGCTCTCTGTGCCCCTTCTTTCTCCTTCCTCCTTTTGTCCCTTCTTCATTTCCTTTTTTTTTTCCCTTTTAAAAGACAGCATGCATATTGTAAACATAGAGGGGTAAAATTTGTGAACATCACCTACCGCCCATGGCTTTCTGAGTCACTTGCTTCCCAGTGCACGGTTACTCTGTGGTATTCAGGCCTTTCTGGATCAAGCTTCAGTGATTGTGCTAATTTCACCTCTATCCTGCAAGAAAGAAACGACAGTCATATATTGTCAGAATATCTCCTCCCTTCTCCAGCCATTTTTCGTCCTTGAAAACCTCCTTTGAGTCCTTTCTCTTCCACCCATTTTTGTCCCTGGAAGGCTGGAAATAAGAACATTGATGATTGCTCATCATTCTCATCAAGTGCAAATGACGGACTGGCTTCAGGCACTTAGAAAGATAAATCCTTCGACCCTCCTCCTCCGCCTTCATGTTCCTGATTGCCTACCCCAGCTGTTATTACGCACATTTGCCATGAAGTGGCTTACGGCAATAAATCAGAGGTGCAAGAAAATGAGCGATAGCGAGATGACAATATCCAGAATACACAATCACATTGAAGGCCAGATAGTATCAGTGTCCAGAAAGCGGAAATGCACCAATATAACACCAATGAAGAATCGTAACACTGAAAACCATACTTGCGGCGCATCGCGATGCGCTGTACTGCGCACGTGCGCCGCACCGCGCTTCCCGCACGACGCGCGCGCACTGCATGCGGCGCACCTCCAAAAATGGGGGTCAAAAAAAAAAAAAAAAGTTGTGAGGGGCGGTAGTAGACCCTGCCCCCTGCTCGCGTAAAATGAGAAACGACCATTCAAATTTTTTTTGGAGGCCGCGCGTTGGCCTGAAAGATTTTAGTAACCTGTATTCTGGGTAACACTGTGTGACACTGTATGGTAGGGTTATTGCCGTCTGTATGGTAGGGTTCTTGCAGGCCAGATTCAGTCGTGATGAGGGTCGCGATCTCTTCTTATTACTTCTGTAGTAGAAAACGACGGAACTGACAGCCGTTTTTCCTGGATTTTTTTTTTGAGAATTTCTTTGCACGAGTGAAGCCCGGCGCGTCCAACCTGTCAGAACCCCAACGGTAATGTTCACCAACGGCCTCGCTGCACTACTCTCAACATGCACAAAAGACAAAAATATTGGCGGTGTATCTTTCCATATTCTAACGCAAGATTCACTCTCGTTTTGCAG